CAAAAGTGTAGACACACAGAGAATACACAACAATAGCATACACTTGCCATCCTCATCTGAGTTGGCTGGGACAAGAACATTCAGGAAGATGAAGAGATGCCATTTCCCAGATGCCATTACCATCCTGGACTCCCTGTTCTGCCCCAACATTATGGAGCAGAGGGAATGATTATGGCAGAGAGAAGAAATAACTCAAGTGCTTCAAAATGTACTAGTGATACCACACCTGTCCACCTAGGTTTCACTTGTACAACTCGAATCAAAGATGACCCTTCCAAGACCAATACTGAAGAAGCAGAAAATTCAGAGCAGACAAGCCACTGCTGATTCAAGTTAAACAGTTTTTGACAAGTCCCACAACATATCCTGGAGTTCTGATGCCCCCAGGTCAGTAAGAAGAAAAACAGCCCAGCAAGGCCTGGGGGCACCCAGAGCCTGTGGCACACAAAGAGAAGGTGCCAAAAGGTATCAGAAAAAGGGATTCTGGGGTGAAGTCTATACAGAACTGGATAAGCCACATGGGTTAAAGACCGTAGCAACAAGGGCAGGCTGAAGGGCTGGAGGTCTTGAGGAGATTAGAAAACAATGTCTTCATAGACAAAAGTAAAATGAACTGGAGATTAGGATCACTTTTAAGTGACTATGGACCACTACCTCAGTGGGAAAAGTGGATGAGAGATGACAGTCTCTGAAAATGAAAGAGTTAAAAAACACCATGAACTACAGATGCTGATATGTAATTTAACAGAAGTTAGGAAGAACCAGAGATTGTGCTAGGGCCTGAGTCACTGCAGTATGCAGAAGGATGACCTGTAGGTGAGTGAGATCAAGAGAAGTAGGGAAAGAGGTGGCTAACATTAATAATGTAGGGTTTTAAAAGAGACCACACTGAAGACCAAATTAAATAATTTCTAGTTTCACAAGCCAGAAGAGATGGAAAAAATAAAAACCAGGATTTACTTAAGGTAAGTGTAGTGTAAACCCCAAAAGTGTTTTTGTCATACAAATGCCTGACTAAGGTTTTGATGCTGAAGTGTCCACTTCAAGGAGGGTTAACTTGAGTAAACACTTGGGCAGTCACAGGATGCCACGAAGAGCCAAGCTGTCTTCCCCAGTGAGGCTCTTTGGTCTTACACCTCTTAGTTGATTTAGATAACTAACCAGATGATGTTGATGTTTTATGTTTCTCCCGCTTTCCTTTCTTTTTTGTCTCTCTGCCTAAGCTTCAAATTCCCTCTTATAATATAAATTCACCCGAAAAGAATGAGCCCAGGAAACCCTAGACTTCACCATCCTCAATGCCAATAAAAGCAGGAACCCAGGCCAGTGCTGGTACTTGTGCCCACTCCAGTTCCTGCTCTGCTTTTGTCCCTGCCCATCCCTACCTCCATAACCTCATTGTGGCCAGGTGTGCTGTGTGACTTCCAGATCTTTTAAATAATAAATCATTAACCAAACAATTTCCTGATGCTTAATGCTAAAGGGCATCTTGCAATCATAATTAGAACCCTAAAGGTTGGTCCAGTCACAATACTGGCTTATGAAAGGAAACAGCCACTGGAAATGCACTGGGTCCAGGTGACTGCCACCATGAATTTCTAGATGAGAGCATCGCTCTCAACAGGCTGAGCCCAAGACCAACACAAAACAAGTGAGGCAGTTGGAGAAGTGTTTTAAGAGAGGGTTAAACATATGTGTTATATTTATGCAACAGATTCTTGTCAAGGGGGCTAACAGAACTGTTAGCAGAATTGACAGGGAAAACTGAGCAGGGATGGAAGTCTGAGAGGTAACAGAAATGTTACAGAGTGTGATCACCATAAAAGGGGAGGTTCCATGTTTCCACCTAAAGAAAGGTGGAGCTGAGCCAGAAGTGAAGAAGACTAGGGAGAAGAGACTTGGAGGAGGCACATGGAGCAGAGAGACATGTGGAAAAGGGCCTGCTTGCCTCTCGGATTTGGACTTGCACCAGGGACTTGGGGGCATGGAAGGAGACACGTGGAGTCAAGACATGTAGAGCCACTTGGAAGAGACAGTGGGTTTGAGACCTGTGGGGAGGCTGACAATGGTAACCATCACCTTGATTTGTACTTTAATTCTGATCCTTTTATCCCACACTTAACATGTCCCTCCCACCACTTTCCTATGGTTCCCTGCCAAAAGGTACCTTAGACTTGTGGCAAGCTTTTGGGCCTCAGTGGTCCTGCTTTGAGTAACTTTGGGTGTTTCATTGGAAAACTACATCTTTTCTTCCCTTCTTTCTCTATGCACTCTAATCCTATTAAAGTTCTTTCACATTAAGAGAATATTTTGCTTTTATGTCGCAGATGGCAGACCCCATTGAGAGTGTGCAATGAGGTGCCCCTCGTTCTGCCTGCTAACAGGAGTGAGTGAGGGAACTGTGACTCACATCCTAGGAGACTCACATACTATGTCTGAGACTCTGTGTTACTAGTACAAAGATAAATAAGATGCATGACAGAAAGGCAATAAAGAGCAGCTAATCAGCTACCCTAATCCACAACACAACTGTGTCTACTCATCTCTTTTGGTCATGGCTGACTGACCCAGGCTAGGCCAATCAGATTCTCTTTCCTGAAAATTTAAAACCTTTGAAAGAGATGGAAGAAAGTTGGGGCCAAGTCACTTTGTACACACTTGAAAGTACATCTGTGTTAACCCCTATCAATCCTCTGGTTCTCAACAGCTGTTTACTTCATTCCCCGCCCCCTCCCCCCATTCTGAGATGTGCTTCTACCATATCTTTAAATAATTTCTCCATTTTGCCTTTTTTAAAAGTCAGAATCACTTGTGAAACTCATAACCAAAGCACCTTATCTGACACAATATGGTATCTGCCTTTAGCCAGTTCATTTATTTTATAAATGAGGAAATCGGTGCCAAGAATATATTTTTCCCAGGTTACAAGATGGGCGGGGGCAGGGGCAGGAGGAGGGAGGGAGGAAAAAGAATGTCTCAAGACCAAAACCCAACTTGCCCAAATACTAATACTGTGGGAAACATTTTTAAACACAGCTTTATATATATATATATATATTTAAGATTTATTTATTTAATACAAGAACTGGGTACAGGCCAGATGCACGGGAGGGTGAGAGGATTCACCAGAGACAGAGTGGGGAACAGAACAGGAAGACTGACTGAAAAATACTGCTGAGGGGAGCAGCGGGTGAGACAGAAGAGGTCTGCTTGCCATGTGGGCTGTTCCATGGCTGGCGGGAATCAAACCCGTACTGCAGAGGCTGCGGACAGCTAGACAGTGCTGCGCTCAACCACCTGCGCCACCAGGGAGGCCCTTTAAACACAGCTTTAGACAGACAAAGACCAAAGATATAGAATATAAATAACTCCAGGTAAAATCTAGGTAAAAAGGTAAAACTTTCAAAGGCTAAAAAAAAATGAAGCAGGTAGAAGTGGATAATGACTCAAGAGCCAGTGATCATCCATAGTACCTCATTTTCATATTCTAATAAGAAGCCTGAGTAACCAAAGTTTTCTATAAAGCCTTAGTATCTGAAACTAGTGTATTAAAATAAAATCTGAGATAACAATTAAATATAAGGAGGTACAGAAAGCTAGAGGAAGGAAAGATAAAGGTAAACACAAGACAAAACTGTAATACCAGAATATTTTTGGCATGCACCATATGTGTAAAAACATTTGTCTGGGTACCCTTCTTTACCAAATATTTTCAGATCATAAAATGGTTCTTGTATTTCCTTGACCTTCCAAGATTCTATTGCGATTTCACTTCCTCCTATGTTCAGACTTTGCAAAGCTGATTTCCTTTGTTTACCTTACAAAGTGTCCTTCCCTTTTGAAAGCTTTTACTTTACTTCCCTTCCTCTAGTCAAAAACTTCTCCATTAATTAGTAGTCTTTCCTGTCTCCTTGATATTCTCTAGTCCAATTATTAATACAAGACAACTGGTGTATTCTAGTTTTTTCTTAGGGGCACTGCTTCGGAAACAACAGGAGGTTTTTTACTAAAAACATTAGCAGGGGTGATCTGTTTTTAAGGCTGAGTAGAAATACCACATGTGCTTCTGTGAAACTATGCATTCCTCTTTGAACATGGGTTTTCAGTAAAAAAAATGGGAATCAAGTCTCATTTATTCCAGGAGGTCCAACCCAATAGGATAAACATGTAGAGCTAGTGGTGAAGTCCTTCATGTAAAAATAACTACTTCACAGAAAAGAAACTGTTAAACATTAACGAATCTATTTAATTAAAAGAAAAGTTGTCATAAATCTAATAGGAATAGGTAGAACACATCAAACCCAAATGGAAATTGAGATTTCCCACACACATGCTTATATATAGATATAAAATCAGAAGACATTAATAATCATTAAAAATTAACATTTTATTTACTTCAAAGAGTGGAAATGTGTAAACTTACTACAGCACTAAGCTCTGCTTACCTCCAGTCTTTCTAATAACCATACAAACTCAATTCGGTGTACATGTAGATTATTTGAAAACAGCCACTGAACTCAATTAACAGTAGGAAAACAACAAATCTTAATGAGGCTTTTACCAAGACTTAATACCAAAACACTATTTAGGATAAAGAACATCATTCTTCTTTAAACCACAACTCTTCTAAATTGACACATGCCTGTTCCACTAAAGCAGTGGTTCATAACGTGGCGGGGGTGGAAGGTGATTTGCCCATCTCACCCCCAGGGTTTACTGAGCAATGTCTACAGACATTTTTGTTGTCACAAGGGAGCTGGCAGTTAGGGGTGGAGGGCAAGTGAGATGCCACTGGCATCTAGTGTGTCAAGGCCCAAGAAGCTGCTAGACATCCTACAGGGGCCAGAACAGCCCTTCACAACCTTCACAACAGAGAACAATCTGTCCTCAAATGGTGGAGGCCCACAGAGAAACAACACTGAAAGGAAGTGGAGCTGACAGGAAATAATTACAGCCTGTCTGTATGCCAAGGGCCTTGTCCCTTTGCAGGAGCCACCTACCTTGGATGCCTGGGGCGTGGAGATTACATGGACAGTGCTTGGTTTGACACCGTTAGCCTTGGGCCGTTTATAGAGAGCAAATCTGCTTTTCCTCCGTCCTCTGTCTCCATTGGGTAAAGCACCATTGTACCTACAAATGGAGGTGGAAGAATTAATTCATTAGCAAATCTTACACATTAAGAACAAAAGGTAGGTGGATCAGGGAAGGGACAGGAAAGGTCACTCAAAATTGTCCGCTAAACACCCCACAGAAGAATAGAGGCAAAACAGACTTCGGCTGTAATACAATTCAAATCACTTCCAGAAACTTAATTTAAGAGTGATGTACAAAGTAATTACACATTTCCCATTCTATAAAGTCAGACTCTTCAAATCTTTTTGAAAAAGGACAGAGTATAAATAAGCAAATGAGAATTCTGCAGAGGCCACATTAGTGCTGGCTCAATTCAGCAAACGTCATTCTAATGGACCCCAGAGAAACACTCAAGAAATATTTTTAAATGAACTAGTTAGAAAATAGCATACTAATTAAACCTCATCTCTCACTCTCAAATCATGTTAATGTCTGCAGGATCTTTACTTGTAAGAAGACCAAATTTAGTTACTTGCATTCTTAAAAATTCTTAATTCTCTACATTTATTCCCATTTCCATTTGAGCTCTACACTGTGAGGTTAGCCAGCCTCCCTGCCCACCCCCCAAAAAAACAAACACCTTGCAACAATCAAATGTAAACTATGACTCTACAAGAGGGTTGCCCAAAAGTATATGAGTATTAATTCACAAATTGTCTACTTTTAAGTCCCCTGGACACCATGTCACATCTTTAGGCAGCTTTTCTATATTCATATCTTAAGCTAATACCAGCATTAGAAAGTGATGCAGTATGTCAGTTAACACTTCAGTTTCCAACTGTATCTCCTAACTCTGAATTAAAAGGTCCCCACGTACTCTGACCACTGCCCCAGGTTGCCACGTTACCACGACTCCAGTCCACCTCCTTGTTGGCAGAAAGAAGTAACTGAGAGGACTGAAAGACGGGGAGGGAATCACTTAAAATTTCCATGGACAAACAGGACAGCTCTAGGCTCCCCCAGAACATCAATGTTAGGGGCAGCGTATCTGGTGACTACTTCTCTCCTAACAGCCTGGCCTTTGCCACTTCCCTTGTCCCACCCCAAGAGGAAGCTTCCCCCATTTGGCAAAGAGGGGTCATGAGGGTCACTTGAGAACCCTAGGTTCACTTAGAATGAAGGGCTTTTGTATGTTTGTTTTACAATCCAGCAGCTACAGCACGATAATGGATTTAAACTATCATCACAAGTTATTCCTGCTGTGTTTTTAATGTTTCCATTTCCATCACAAAGGAATGTCAGCTACATAAAAGTGTCTCCAGAGTACAGAGGCGATTTATTTCAAGTCTTAGTCATCTCCTTTTTCTGAGACAAGATCAGAAGAAGGTACATTATTTTCTGAAACATATTTATGATGGTGACTATAATGAACACTATGGGTGAGGAGCCATTCAAAACCCACTTTGCACTCACAAGATTCCCCGAAATCAAGATGAATATTCTGTATTGAGCAATACATGAGAATCAACTAGAGCCAGGCCTTGATACACCTGAGAGGAACATTTAAAGGGGCAACTATAAAATACCTGGCAGGGCTTCCTGGGCTGCTCCTGTCCGTGACTCTGTGGCCTCGCTCTCAACCACTTGCTCCTGGTCAGCAGAATCTAACCTACTACAAAGAGCGCGGGGGACACTCACATGACATCCCTCCCAGGAATCTATGCCTGGTCCCCCTACAGTGAGCCCCAGCACCACACTGAATGCAGTGGCCTTGCCAGCACCCTCCCCACTATCCTGGGGTTGAATGACCAGAGGTGGACGTCTGCCTGTAGGGTAAGGTGAAAAATCAGGCTTTTCTGCCCTCCCGCCATCAGGATAGATGAGGGAACCCTGTGATCCTGAATGCATGCCTGATGGCGGGCACCTGAAGTGGGTACACCTGCGCTAAGACTGTGCTTTTTTTTAAGGGCGGCGTCACGGGGACGCCAGCAGAAGCAGCAGAAGCCGAAAGAGAAGAAGCCCGAAACAGAAGCAGAGAACGCCAGAGAGCCCAGATAGAGTGAAGATTTGCTGGGGGCTGGGAGGACTGCCAGCCTCCCGGCCCCCCAGCACCCCTGCCTGCCACGTACCCGCTGAACCCCAATAAAAAACTTGCAAAACCACTGAGGACTCTGACTCCTCCTTTACCCGGTCTGCTGGATCAGAAAACCTGCACTGTGGCCAGTCCTGCCCCTTTACACCACCCAAGCTGGCCAATGACATTCTCACCTGGAAAACAACACTGGAACTGAGAAACAAGCAACCAGCCTGTGGGAGGCTGGGGTTAAGCACGGGGGCTGCAAGGCTGTCACAGTCCATTATATGGATGAAGAAGCAGAGAAAGTGAGGCATGAAGCAGATGAAGGGAGACAAGCAATAGAGATGGAAAGAAGAATCCTCAAGGGCTTCTACTGGCCCAGATGTACACTGCCCCTTGATCAAATTCTTTTTAATTTAAGCGAAGCGAACTCAGCTTCATTTCTGCTACTTACAGTCCCAAAGCCATATCTAATATAAAGGGAGGAAAATCCACAAAACCCAAAACTGTCAACTTTAACATATGCAGAAACATTTTAATTTAAATTGCTGAGCACAGATGCAGAAATTACTGCTGGTTAAGCGAGGAACCTACCAGTCTGCTTGCAGAGAACATGCTTGATACTTCTAGATGACAATCAGTGAACAATCCAACTGAAAATAATTAAGATAACAGTGGAAAAACCACTGTCATGATGAGACAAGTTACTAATTAGGTTAAGCACATGGCCATTCATTATTTATAACATCGAGCACTAGGGCTATGACGATCAGGATTAGCTCGTCTGTCTTCACAGAGCTCCCTGCTTAAAAAGAAGAGAGAGATGCAAAAACAAGTACGATAAGACACATGCAACAAGATACACTAGGAGCACAAAGCCCAAGAGAGAGGACATTAGGGACGCCTTCGTGGAGGAGACACTGCTTGAACTGTCTTAAAATCTGAACAAGACTAAAGAGCAGGCAACAGTGCACACAAAGGCGAGGAGAGCAGAAAATTCAAGAGAAGTAGTAGGCAAGGAGGAGAGCGCCAGGAAGAGGCCAGATTACAACAGCCTGGGCCTCCATGGCCAGGGGCAGGGCGTTTTACCCCAAGGAGAAAAGGGAGTCTGGCAAGATTTAAGCAAAGGACTAACATAATTGGGAATAATCTTCAGGGCAGCCAGTGAGCACGGACATCCAGACAGAGGCAAGATGGTCAGAGGGGAGGGCAGAACCAGAGAGGAAGAGGACAAGCTGAATGTCCATGCCCCGGAAGATGTGACTACAACCTTATTTGGCAAAAGGGTTTCTATAGTTGTAGCTAAGGATTTCAAGGTGATAATATCCTGGATTACTAGTGGGCCCTAAATCACTGACGAGTGTCTTTATAGGACACGTGGGAAAGAGGGGAGATGACCGTGTAAAGATGGAGGCAGAGACTTCAGCTAGACCATCGAAAGCCAGGGTATGCCTGGACCCACCAGCAGCCAGTAGAGGCAAGGCTGGCTCTTTCTCTAGAGCGCTTGGGGCAGCAGGGCCTTTTCAGCACTTGGGCTTCCTGCTTGAGGCCTTCAGAGAATAAGTTCTGCTGCTTTAAGCCTATGTTTGTGGTAATTTGTTACTGCAGCTTTTTTGGCTAGTCTGAAAGTCCCAACCAAAAGAGCAATGGTGGAAATGAGTTGGAGGATTAGAAACAATTTTTAGAGAATTGTTTTCAATGCTAGATGAGTATCACAATCACCTGGGAAGCCTAATAAAAATACTCATGCCTCAGTCTCAGGAGATTCTGATTCACTGATTCTGGGACAGGACTCCGGTGTACATTTGTTAAAAGCTCTACGGCGATGCTTACTTGCTGCCACAGTGGAGAACCTTGGCTTGCAGGGCAAAAAGCAAGAGTACTTTATGACCTGTTTGGCATCACAAAGGACAGGACAGAGAAAGAGAATTTCATACAGGCTTCTAGCCACACAGATGACAGTTAAAATGAAGGGCAGTGGGATTTCTCAAGAAAAGAAGTTCAGAATAAAGGAGAAAAGCAAGCAAGGAGAGGCCTGGGAAGATAGAGCCACTTGAAAAAACAACCTAGGAGGCCTCCATGGTGGTGCAGGCGATTGAGCGCAGCGCTGTGAAGCTGTCCACAGCCTCTGCAGTGCCGGTTCGATCCCCGCTGGTCTCGGAGCAACCCACATGGCAAGCAGACCTCTCCTGTCTGGCCCGCTGCTCCCCTCAGCAGTGTATTTCATCAGTCTGCCTGTTCTGCTCCCTACTCTGTCTCTGGTGAATCCTCTCACCCTCCCGCGCATCTAGCGCATCTACCCCAGTTCTTGTATAAATAAAATAAATCTTTAAAAAACAAAACAAAACAAAAAAAAACCTATTCCTGATCACAGGTGGAAGGGCTAAGACCAGGAGTGATATTGCCAAAGCAAGAGAAGAGAGCATTTCAATGATGTTCATAAGTGAAGAGGCCAGTCAGCCGCACAGAAAAGCACAACTGATTTTGAAAACAGTGGGTCACTAGTGATCTTTGAAACAAAGTAAAAACAAGCAAACCCCTCCATCTCTCGGCCTCCACTGCCATGCCCACTTTATCCTACAGTAGAGCATCCTGAAAGAGGATGCGCCCACTCCCAGCACTGCCAACTCTTCAATCCACTGCCCTTTGATCTTCACTTTCAGATCTGAAAGTACACTTGGCCACATGTCATAAGCCCCTGTAGGGTAAAGAAAATGTCAGGCTTTTCTGCCCTTCCGCCATCAGGATAGATGATGGATCCTTGTCCTGAATCCATGCCTGATGGCGGGCACCTGGAATAGGGTGTGGGCATAGGTAGATGGGATTCACCTGGGCTAAGACTGTGCTTTTAAGGGCGGCGTCACGGGGACGCCAGCAGGAGCAGTAGAAGCAGCAGCAGAAACTGAGAAAGAAGCCGAAAGAGAAGAAGCCCGAAGCAGAAGCAGAGAACGCTAGAGAGCCCAGATAGAGTGAGGGTTTG